AGGAAGGAAGGAAGGAAGGAAGGAAGGAAGGAAGGAAGGAAGGAAGGAAGGAAGGAAGGAAGGAAGGAAGGAAGGAAGGAAGGAAGGAAGGAAGGAAGTATGTCGGATGCTCGGTGAAAATGTGTGTAAGTACGCGTGCGGTCTCGCGCGGCACGGCGCGGTGCAACGCGGTACAACGAACGATAAGAAAAAGGGAGAAGGGTGAAAACGAGGAAGCGATCGGCAGCTCCGGTATACGTACACGTATACATACATGCATACATACATACATACATACATACGTGGATATACACGATAAGAGGGGAGGGGAGAGAGAGAGAGAGAGAGAAGACAGTGCGTAATGCACAGGCGCGACGTTAACGATACAATGTACGATGTAGTAGTTAGCGAACGTACCTCGTCTTCACCGGTGGCCACCGTGTTGACGGAGTCCATACTCTGTGAGAGCGGTGCGTCCATGATGCAAGCGAGTTTGCTGGATGGTCCGGGGTTTCCGGGGGCTGCGGTTCGAGCGGGTGGCGGCGATGAGTCCACCGTATCCCGTCTCGGGCGTTTTAAAGCGGGCGGCGTTATGGTTGTACCGGCGAAGACGACAGGCGCCTCCAGGACGTATCACTGGAAATAACCCTTTTCTCGCGAGAAACCCAGGCGTATCGCCTCCTTCCTCCTTCTCCACCTTTCCCTCCTTTCCTTCCCGTTGGCGAGCACGCGCGCGCACGTATATCTACGTACGTACGGCCTGTCTCTGATACTTTCTTCCGTTCCGTCCTACCCTCTCTCTCTCTGTCTCTCTTTCTTCTCGTCTTCGTTTCGCTTCTTCCGCTTCCTGTTACGTTTCTTCTTGGTCACCTGCACCTCCGCCTCCACCGCCACCACCTCCTCCACCTCCAGCCCTACGACAGCGCGATGCTGCTGCTGCTGTTGCTGCTACCGTTACTTTCGCTGCACCTGTCACGCGTTGTGCAAGGGCGTCAGGTAAGACCGATGCAGAGGGAAAGTAAGAGAGAGAGAGGGCCCCAGAGACAGCCAGACAGTGTGAGCTGTACGTGTAGAGTGTGTATGTAGCCTGCAGGTGTTCCCACGCGTCTATTTTAGAGCAATCGATACACCGTGCCCGTGTAGGAGGGCCGAACCCAGAGAACGTGCTCTACAGTGGCGGTTCGTCGACGACACTTGTTCATCTACCGGCGGCAGGTAACAGCCCATGTAGCAACGACGTGCGACTTGTGATTCCTCTCTCGTACTCTCTCGCCTTCACGTACGTCGATACGTATCACGTTTTACCATAGGCGATGTTGATTAATAATCGCGTATTAATCGATCACGCGACCGGAGGTAGACGAGCACGGAAACGTTGAACGACGACAACGACTCGATCCGTATCCGGACGTAATCCCCGTGCGACGACGTGTTTGTAGACAAGACAGGCAGGTAAACGGCGATTCGCGGGAGACGTTAGAGCGCGTTTATCGCGAGCGCGGCGCGTGCGTTCGTCGTGTACGCGTACTTGTATTTTATACGAGATATGTATATATATATATATATATATGTATATATATATTTCTTGGTGTGTTTATATAGTTGATCGAGAAGAGATATGTATATGCGTTAATGTTGATGATTGACCCTTTTGTATACGTATACAATTGCGTGTCGATTGAACTAATTAGAAAGTGACCGAGCGGGAAAGATGAGTAACTCGGCGAGGGACAAACGAAAAAATGTAGACCGCGATTTATAAATGAACAACACACTGGTCAGGCAAGTAAGAATAATAATAATATATTGTTACGTAAGCACTGCGACACGACTGGTACGCAGGTTGCCGATAGACTGACGGACTGCGAACGAGCGCGACGCTCGAGACGGGTGCGCGCGCGGGGTCGAATCGCCGTCGGCGCAGGGGTGGGGCGCGGTGGGGTGGCCCGCGGGCCACTGGGTCGGGGTAGGTGAGTGGGTGGCAAACAGGGGTGGGGGTCACGCACGAGTACGACGAGGGGGTCAAGGGGCAAGGCACGCGCCTGGAGGGGACTCGCCCTCCCTATTTTACCTTTTCCACTGACGATGTTCTAGGTCCTAGGTGACTCCGACCCGAGGAAATTGTAAACTCTAGCTCTGTCGGGCGAAGTTACGACCAAGTTCGTCAAGGGGGAAAAAAAATGAAGGATACTCCAGCTTCGTTGCGCGTCTCCTTCCAGGAAACGCGTTACTTCGTGGAAATTATGTTGACAACAACGTTGCTATGGATAGTTGTGTATTGTGGTTGTATAGCGGAGCGCGCACGTTTCACCGCGACGCGAACCACCGAACGCTTTCAACAATATACACTAATGTAAGGCTAATCGATCGTTTGTAAATTGATACCCGCAACCGCTCGTAAATATCCTTTTTTGTACATTAATTTCATTCGCGCGCACGCGACTTTTTATTCTACATATGTATGTTACTTTCGTGAATATTCTATAAATAAAACGCGAGCGACAATAATGAGTATGTTTATTTTTGACTTGGATATTAATTTTAACGTCAATGTTTTAATCTTCGATGTTACGAGACTAACGTGTATATTATACACGGTATTTTGTTTTGTTGTTCGGTATAAAAGTTTCCAATGGGATTAAAATATACTTGTGTTTATTCTGCGGACAGAACAGACATCTGTATTTTCCGTAGGCTGCAGATGGTATCGGATTGCCGAACCTAACCAAAAAAGGAAAAGAGAGAACCACTGCGTGTTACGTTGTTCTACTCGAAAAACGTCGTAACCATACGCTTTCCCTGAGACTAACAGGTGGAAGCCGTTTGAAACGTGCAGCTTTCCTCGAGATTAGCAGGTGGAAGATGCTATTGGTGTGTTCGTACCGCGGATTATTTCGAACCAGATCTGGAGAAACCACCTTCCCCTCGTAGAAAGCAGATGGATGACTTAATGTGATGTCGAAGCGTGCTTCTCCTTCCTCCGTTTTCATCAACAAAGTTGCAAAAAAGATAACGATGAAATTAAAATGTCGTTAAGTGAAACTTTCCGACAAAAGCTTTCGTTTCTTTCTAAAACAAATTTTTGCAGCGAAAGAAGTAAGCGGAATGTTGTTTCTACAATTTCGTTCTAAAGAACGAATCGTATTGAGTTTTAATTATAGATAAGCCAACCGACGCAGTTCATCCGTTACAAAGCAAAGATATAGAGTTGGGTACTTCTTGAAAATTATATATTAAAGAAAAACGATTTTCCAACGATGCCGGAGAAGGAAATTCTCGTTCCGAGAAAAGTTATACTCACAAATATAGAAAGTAATATGGCTGCATAGTGCAGGCCCGATGGACAGTAAGGTGTAGCGGAGAAAATGTTTTATTGATGGCTTATTGCTTGAATCGATCGATGGTTCCACGACAGCAAGTAGAGTAATAGTTACTTATGCTTCCCAGTTACTGAAAATTAATCATATAATATTATTACCCACTATTATTTGTAGATAACTATTAGAAATTTATTTATAAAATTGTGTTAATATTTCTGCTATTTGCATTATTAATGATCTCTGTTATTTTATATTTTCCATTTGTCGATAGGAAAACCGTTGAACATTTTATTTCAATTCTATGAAATAAACACAAAGTAATGGCAATTAAATACAACTACTCTTGCAGATGGCAGCTTACGTAAAGAATATGAAATGACTTGCATGCTATGAATTACTGCGGCGCAAATTTAAAACGAACGTGCATGTCGTGCTATTTATTTCGCTCAATAATCGTTCGTACATGTAAAAACACACATGTTTAAAATAAAGTTTCGTGCTGTTTTCTAGAGAAATTCTAAAAGTATATTTTGTTTCGTTGTCGCCATGATTCTGAAACTGAATAGAATAAAGAAAGGTTACAAATATATCAAATATTTTTATATTCATAAATTTGAATCGATTATTTTGATTGTAATTAATTTGTTCATAACAACAATATTATAATAAAGAATTGTAAAATTTTCCTTTTTGCATGTAGACTCGTGTAAAAAATAAAAAGCTATTACATACTTGAAAAGCCAAAGAAGAAATAAAAAGTACGTTTCAAATTCCATCTACGAGACAGTTTTAGTGTTACTTTTCCTTCTACCAAAGTCATTTCGATATTCTTTAGACTGGCTGTAATGTCTAGAATAAATATTTCATGTGTCGGTCGATTTTTCTGCCACAGATTGCTGGAAAGACGACCTTCACGCTGAAAAAAAAATCGTTAATAGATATAAATAAATCTTATTAATATTCCCTATTAACCTACATAGATAGCAAATATTTCTAAATCTATATATATAAATTTCATTTAAAATCAAATATTCGAACAATTTTAATCAATTATATGATATTAAAAAGTATCATTTTAATTTCAAACGAAATGAATTTTAAAACTAATAAGTTAATAATTTCAAAACTATTTTATTTCTTTAAAAATATTTTTAATGTTTCAGAAACTATTATATCTCTTAATATAATATCTTAATATAATATCTCTTAATATAACACTTCCTCAAATTATAAACATATAATTTATTTATTATGCAGTAAAAGTACTTACTGAACATTCGATTTTATTGGTTATTTCTATGATGTCCAATTTTTGAGCCATTACTACGACTATAGTTATTTAGAGAGGCATAATACTTAACTGTCAAGTGACTGAATTACAAAATATATTGTATTCGTAATAAAAAAATTATTTATCAATATGAAATAAATAAAAAAAAGCAAATTTTTGATCATGTAATGAAAACGGGACTTGCTCTATCATTAAGAAATGGCGGGAAAAATGGCAGAATGTATCATGATTATCTGCAGCTTATTACTCACTGTACAATGAACGTATGCTGACTAAGAGTGAGCTTTAAAAGTGTAATTTTGTTTAATTTGCAATTTTATAATTTGTTCTATAGTAAAAATAAACAATTTCTACTTAAAATTTGTGAGTAAAGGTTAATTGAATGTTTTCAAAGCTGACAAAATATCAGTTGTATTCATATAATTATTACAAGTGATTTTATTTTAAATATTTAAAATGGATAATTCCAATGATTCTGATGTAGACGATATTTTAAATGATCTCTTAGCTAACGGTGATACAGAGGAAAATCAAGAATCACCACAGAAAGAAACTCAGAAAGAAATTCTAAAAGAATTAGACTTTAATTTCTTAGATAGCACACTTAAAACAAATGATGAGAATAACTCTATTAATCGTCAGGAAAAAAGTGAAGTTTATGATGATGAACTTGATTCTTCGGATGATGAAGACAGGCGTTATTTTGAGGAACAAAAATATTCTAATTATGGACGTGATATCAAATCTTTATTAAAGGAAGATGTCAAAAAAGATGAGAAGAGACCACTGCCACGTGAAAGCAGTAAAACATTTAATTTTAGTGCAACGAAGAGCAACAAAAATGTAAATACAGTAACAAATAGTGCCACTGTTATGTCAAAAGATGTTTATAGTGATCCGTTTTTTGGACTGAGAATCATTAGTCCAGTAATTTCTTCAACGGAGCTGAAAGCACGTATGATTGATAAAGTACCTGTAACAGTATCAAAAATAAAATATCATCTGAATACAGAGAAATCAGAAAAAGACTGGGTAATTGCAGGAGTATTAATAAATAAATCTGCTCCAAAAACTTCTCAAAAGGGAAGTACATATGCTATATGGAAAATAAGTGATTTATCTGACGCTATGAATACTGTGTGCCTTTTTACATTTAGTAATGCATATAAATCACTTTGGAAAACTACTGTTGGAACTGTAATAGCTATTCTTAATCCAAATGTTCTAGAATCTAAAGACAATACTGATTTAGCAACATTGTCAATTGATAATCCTCAAAGAGTTATGATACTTGGTAAATCTAAAGATATGGGAAAATGCAAATCCAAAAAGAAGAATGGAGAAGCTTGTAACTCTATTGTAAATATTAGTCGTTGCGAATTTTGTTTGTATCACATCAAACAAGAGTACAAGAAATGTTCTAAGAGAACAGAATTGCAAGCATTTAGTAATAGTCAAAAATTTTCAATAGATATGTTAAAACAAAAAACACAGAATAAACAGAAACCATTCTTCAACAATATGCCTGAATTTCATGCTGTTGTTGCCGTAAAAAATAAAAAATTAGTAGAGAAAGATGCTAAACGATTAGCATTACTTTCAGGTAGCCAGAGGACTAATAATTCCACTGATAAAAGCTTAGATGATATAAAAGATCAAAATGGGAAAACAGATATATTAGGGCAACAAATAAAAAAAGACTTTGAACAAATGAACAAATCTAGAGGTTGGAAAGCTACTGTATTATCTCAAACATCTTCAAATGACAAGACATCATTTTCATCCACATTGACACAATTAAATTCCTGTAAAACTAATAATACAAGAAAAAAAGATTTATCTTGTTTATCTTCAAGTCCTCGCTTAGGTATTGGTTGTCTGGGAGGAACAATAGATTTGTCAGAGCCTATAACTAAAAAACAAATTAATATAGCTAAAAATAATGCTGTTAAATGGGTTAAAGAAAATGGAAAAATTAAAGCTAAGGATCCTAACAAAATACGTTTAACTAAAGAAGAGAAATTAGAGAAAGGAAAAAAACGACCAAGAGAGTTAGAAAATGATGAAAAACAGAAAGTAAAGAAATTACATGTCATGTCAGATAAATTCAAGGAAATGATGCAAGCTAAATCTACTCATACTGATCTTATTGAAAAATCTTATGAGCAAGAACAAGACAAATATTTTAGCAAACTAGAAATAAAAGAAAGAATGGAAGAAAAAATGTTAACTACTTATAAAGTTCCTTGTAAAGCTGTTAAATGCATAACTTGTAAATATACAGCATTTTCTGCTTCTGACATGTGTAAAGAACAGAATCATCCATTGCGTGTTGCTGATGCAGTGAAGAGATTCTTCAAATGTGGAGATTGTGGAAACAGAACAGTAAGTTTGGACAGAATACCTTCGCATAGTTGTATAAAATGCAGCAGTTCAAATTGGGCAAAAGCTGCAATGATGGATGAGAGAAAAACAAATATTTCGGTCACTGCATTATCTATTCGTGGAGATGAAGAAACTTTCATAGGATCAATGACTAAAGATGCCAATCTTAATCTCTTGGTACCAGATAAAGATGACAAGTAGTATCATGATGAATAAAAATATATAAAATATTATACAAAAGAGTGACATCTTTCCTATACTTTTATATCTGTTAAATTTTTACATTATATTTTATAAGTATAGATAACTGTTTGTTTTTATTGTCCTTAACATCAATATCTTTCTATCATGTGAAATATACAAGTATAAAAAATCCTAGTGTAATATAGCTGTTATATGTATATATAAATATAATTTAACATTTTTACAAGACTGTGTTACTAATGTTATTTCAAAAAAATTAAAGAAATAAATACATTGAACGATATCTGTCCAAATATACATACTAGGCAAAAGTGTCTAGGTACAACCAGGTATAAAATATTATAAAATGTATTTCACTGAGCACTTCCTTTTTTTATTGTATTATGCCAAATTCTTTTCATCTTTCTAGTCAAATTTCTATTCAACAGCACCTCATTCCATAGGCAAATATATCTTACCAATAATATAAAGACATCTGTTCCATTATTTCATATATGCAAAACTTACGTATATGTATAAAAAGGGAGAGCATTAACAAAAATGTAAAAAGACGTTATAATTGGAACCCGGAAATATCCCTCATAGTAATTAGAACCATCACAGTGCAAAAATGTTAAAAACTATTTTTCCATTTTATCTTTTCGCTATTATTTATTTTTTTTACAATTTTTAAATATTTTTAAATAGTTATTTCGGATATGCCCTGTGAAAAGAAACATCATTGTGACATTTTCGGGTTCTAATAGCAACATGTTTGCATGAAAAACATAGACTGTATTTTTCACTTCTTATTCAATTTTTCATATTCCATTCTATTCTGATTAAATTTTGATATTAACGATACGTTATTTTCTTTGCATATAAATTTTGTGTAATGCGTATGTGAAAAAAGGGAAATTGGAAATAATGTTTGATTGCCAAATAAATTTCATGTTTTTAAAGTATATCAAAATATTTCATTATTAGCTTTACAAAATTTATATTCTTTTCACTTTTGTGTTATGAACAGCAGAATACCGATATAATTATATATTAATAATATTATCAAAACAGATATATGAAAATCTGAATAGATATATGAGTTAACTATTTGGAAGTAAAAATAATTATAAATTAATATTTTTGTTGAGGTAACTTCTATCATTATAATTAGAATGTTTCGTCACATAGACTATATTTAAATATCATAAACTATCATTTCATCGCTATGTGCCATTATTTCAATATCCCTCTTTATCACTTCACAAAACATTTTTTATAGAACATGTATCATGGTACGGCCAACATTTTGTCACGTAAACTTGAAATTCATATTTTTACTGTATCCTTGTAATTCAGTAATATTCTTTTGAGTAAAGACAAGTTAAAATTTTTAGGACATAGCACGAGTGTAATTTACGCGTATAATACATATAAAATATGAGGTATTAAATTCATTTTTTTGAAAAACTTGATCAAGCAAAGTTATAACAATAACATCTTTGTATTGCCTTGCTAGATAAAAAGTAACATTTGAAAGAACAAAAACATTTTGCTAGAGCAATACAAGAGAATAAGATTGCCAAAAATTATAAATCTGTTAGCAGATTATACAACTATGCTTATGGAAGAGATCATAGGCAAGCCATAATCTAAGTACGTCATTAATTTGTTTAAATAAGATGTACGACGTCTATTTCTTTTCTTTCATACGTTCTTCTGCAGATTCACTTTCCCTTACCTTATAAAAAAAACGGAAAACAAAAAAGACCAAAGATTATTTACGATTATACGGCTTTTTCCTAATCTCTTTCAAATATTTACCAAGTTCTAGAACTTCATAGAACTATAACTTATACACTTAAAATAATCTTCTGCAAAGCAGAAGAAATAATCGCACCGATTTAGTAATAAATAATTATCTAGATTCCTATTAAATGAATGTTTACATATAAAAATTTAAAGAAACATTAAGGTGACATTCAACATTTCGCTGCCTTGAAGACAATACACAGATACAATACTTTTAAACTATCATGTTTTGGAATTCGTTGTGCACATACCATAAGCCAGGTCTTTTTTTTTTTTTTGCTGAACGTTCTATTTTGATGAAGTTTTCATAAAGCTTTATCCCTTCATTACATACGGCGTAATAGTATAAATAATCTAATTATACTATTAATTAACAATACATTATTTTCATCAAAAGATTCATGGTATTTGTGAACCTTTCTTTACTATACAGCGACATTTCGTAAAAGGTACTTCACCAAAATTGCACGTTTCATTCTTCTCACATTTATACATACATATTATTGTTTATTACAAAGGCATCATATGGATAAGCAATTTAAATCAACAATGTTAAAATAATTTTGTAATATTTTCAATAACTGCTACTTAAATATTGCAGAAGATATTTCTTTACTAATGGAGTGCACCGTTGTAACAATCGAAAAGATATATTTCGATCCATTTGCGGAGCATTTGTTATATACAATTGTGAGTGTACAAAATATAAGAGTCAAGAGCTAGCAAAGTTAATGTAGATACGAAAAATTATCTCTTATATGTTTATATATGTATCACTCGATGAGAGACGGAAAGATTTTATTTTCCTGGGATATTACGCGATCTTAACTTATGTCTAAGGCAACAGTGCCATTAAAAATTTAAGTCTATGTACAGAACTCTTCATTATTCATATGAATTTAGTAATCGGTATAGAATACACGATACGCAACTTCATGTTTATGATAATCAGTTTATTACAGCTTATCCATGGTTGTATCTGAACAAAAATAACGCTACATTCGTCTTCATGCTATTCGAGTATCTTTCTCCGTTTCTTTTTCTTTTCAATCTAAATTCATGATAAGATGACAAACATCAATTTGATACAAAATTATGTTTTCAACCGTATACTGTACAAACATATCCAGCACTGTAACGCGTGTAATTAGTTAAATAAATCCATGTGAATAATTAAAGAATGTAACTGTAATATAAGGTAATGTTATGTGAGATAGGCAGGTATCAAGCTGGCTTAATTAAGTGTCACAGTCTTCGAGTTGCCTTTGTTTCTTCATGGACATGGATTATCGGCGCGCCACGTGTTGTGCTTTTCACTTTTGTGTATTAATTGTGAATTGTTTGAATGAATTCTAGTGAATAACTTTATGACGTGTGTGTTGCATCATATAATAAATTTTATAAACATGTCCTTTTATGTGCCTCTCTTGAAGTATGATGCAAGGGAAAACATATATTTATGTTTTCCCTCGAAGCTAAAAGTGTCTGTTGAATCACGGGTTTAATAGTCATCCAGATCAAAAGTATCAACTTCGACATCTTCCAACTGCATACTCTGAAAGTCCACTTTGTACCGCAATATACCTGTAAAACACATATTAACACAATACTATTTTAGTAGAGAAAAATTTTAATTAAAATGTTTGCTATCGTGAATTTATGGAAATAAACGAAAAGTATTTGAATAGTACAATAAAAATAATGTTTTATAGAAAAAAAATTTCATGATCAATTTAATCAAATAGAAATTGCAATTAATTATTTGTAGAAATATTATGATAAATAATTTTAATATAATAGTTATTAATCGTGCATAACATATTGCTCACAATGCCTTTCAATTCTTTCATAAATTTATCTTGAAATTTTAAAAGAAAATATACATGATATGTAATATGTGTTTTCCTAAAATAATTTAGTACATATATATTTTAGAAAAACACTGTTATTTTTATAATTATACAATGCAATTTAAAAGAATGAAAGATATCAATATATAAAGATGATATATAGAAATATATATTAATAATATGACTGTAAAGTAAATGAATGTTATACATGTAATGAATATCACACTTCCAAAATTATAATTTAAAAAAAAAAGGTCTAGTTTATAATCTTATAAAGAAGAAATAACAAGCAATTAATTTAAAGATGGATACAAAGTAATTGCTACAAGGAAATTATTACAAAGAGTACAACTATAATAAAATATTATAAATAAAAATATTCATGATATTACATATTAAATGTATTACATTCTTTTATATTATAATATTTCTATGAGTTAGCAACTTTACTAATAACAAAAATAAAATAGAAGAGTTTTAATAATATAACATTAATCTAAATCTTGATAATATTGCTAATAATAATGAAGAGGAAAAATATCTTAATCAATGGAATAACTTTTAATACAATGTATAACATTCTAAAGCAAAATATATTTAGTGTTAAGAAGTGCAATAATAAGGCTTAATAAAGTTCAAATTTCACAGCTTTTTTTCACTAAATTAGTAAAAAGCAGTTACTATACCTTTCCCAATATGCAAGCTAATAGAAACAAATTATTAATTAGTACTTATGCTTAGTCAAATACATTGACTATTTAACAAAGCCTAGCCATTTATTACATAAACCATTATTCATTACGTTTTATGTTCACCACCAAAGATTATGTTCTTGATGTTAGTTTTCATTAGTAATAATATAAATATTTTTTTAAATAAAAACGATAATTTATCTTTGGTAGAGAAATGAATATTTGCCTATTGCATAACATGCAGCAAGCAATATTTGAGATTATTTCCTTATAGAAGCAGTATCAAAGCTTTGTATATTAATATAAATATTAGTTAATGTTAACAAAATATTTTATATTAATACTATTATTTTACTGTGTTCAATTTCATTTCAACTAAAATTCTAATTTAAAATTCTTTAAAGCTCTTAAATATATATATATATATATATATATATCTATATCCACGTATAAATATAATTGTAACAAAATTCTTAATATGAATATTTAAATAATAAATGTTTATTTATATTAAATATGCAATAAAGCTTTAAATATATATTAAATGATTTCATATAAAGTTATGTTAAAATGTGTGAAAAAAGTAAGTAAAAAAGAAAAATTCCAAATCATAATATCTAAAATATTATTCAGCTTATAAAAATATAAAGAAGCTAAGAAGCTTTACATGCATATAAAGAAAAGAAAATTTTCCATCTATATACATCTATTGCAAAATGAAATAAGAAATAGTGGTTTCAATATTATTTTGAAAATCACATATATATATATATATATATATATACACACACAAACATACGCATATATATACAGATTTTTTTAATAAATTTGAAAATATTAGTTAGATAGTTTTATTAAATTAATTTTTTATAAATGACTGCGTTTTTCATTAATATATTACTAACACAATATATCTACAACTGTTTAGAAACAATATAAAATTTCTTTATAATAGATGTAGTATATTGTCATGACAATGTTTTGAAAATATACATTATATCCAAAAATTAATAAAACTGTATTATATGTGGATGATTTGTGTTGTAAATGATTTTGTATGCAACAAAAATTTTAAGTAAAATGTATCACGAAAAAAAAGTACCGTGTTTGTGGAAATAAGCAATATTATCCATTAAACTGATTATGTATGTTGTACCTACAGTTTAACTTTAATTACTAACATTATAATGTACAATCACTAAAAAAAAAAAAAGAAAAAATCAGTATCTAATAATGTTCAAGGCAGAAAAGTTACACACTGGAATACTTCAACTCACCCTCTTCATCAAATACAATTATCCATATTTCATATATATACAAGATTTTCTTAATTTTTGTACCACCAAGAAAAAAAGGAGACAGCAAAGTTTTCAGGCTTTTTATTCGTAAAAGTAAATATTATACCTCGAAATTCACAACTAAAAATATCTATATTCACATTCAAACTCATCAGAAGAGACATACATATACTACAGATTTGCACAGAAATATTGAACTATACTATTCAGTGAGAAATTCAACAGAAGAAACTTCAAATTTTTTTGGACAAATTTATCGTTAATTACATACAAAATGCATGTATTTTAATTCTTATTAACAGTATAAATCTATAAATAATAATACAATGAGTAAACTCAATCACAGCTTATAACATTAATGTTGCATTAGTTGCGAATTTTGATAGTAATAATGAAAATTAATCTCTTCATGATGAGTACAAGATTTATATTAAAAAATAATATATTATGACAGAATTTAATGTACATTGATTAAATAATTATACTATTAATGAATACTATTATGCGAAGGTTTAGCATTATACTAATTGTCATTAGTTAATATAATATTTATATATATGTTGTATAATTATTTTATTTACTTTTTTATATGTAAGTTAATACAAGATTCATAAATATTTTGATAAATTTGTCCAGTTCTGAAAGTAATATGTTCTATAATACACGAAATGTAAACGAATGCACTCAAGACATAGAAAGAGCTACCTGGTCAACTTTGAGTATTTCACAGATGAAATTAGTAATCATCGAGGTCAACATCATCAAGAGGCTCATCAGCCTGCAGTGACTGGAAGTCTACTTTGTATCGGAGGATTCCTATGCATCAAGATATACTCCATAATTAAAACTCATATTTTTAACTTTTCTTTAATACCATCATTTACTTTTCATATATATATATATATGAATTTATATCTTGACAAAGATCACCTTTGTTTGTAATAAAAATATGTAATAAATGTTTAGGAATGTATTAAAAGATTTGTTACAGATATAGAAACTTATATCCTTTGCTCTTATTGATTAACTAATCAAACTGGAATCAGCTTTTCTGTTAGTATACTACTTCGAGTGGATGAATACAAATTATTATTTCACAAGTATATTACTTTCAGTCGAGTTAAAGTTAGTAGACACAAAAACAAACGAAAGAAGTAAACTTACCTCCGATACCCCCGAAACCTCTTACGAACTGAGAGCCTTCTTGAGATTTATCTGTAATAATTTCCAAAGTGGCACCAAAACTCTTGTAGTTATTTGCTAACCATTCAAGTAAAGGCTGACATTCTACAAGTTCCAATTCTACTCCACTCTAAACATAACATGAAAATACTCAATGTTAATTACTTGCATTTATTTAAATAATTTTAACCATCAAATGATTAACATTGTTTTATTTACCTCTTTGTCAGTAAAATGAGTTTTGTCTTTTTCTTGCTCTGGCGTTAGGTGTAAAACTTTCTCTTCTGCATTTGTATGATTCTTTAAAACGTATCGTTGAATATCTAAATTTTCCCAACAAATGAGAGTTTCTACACTGCCTAATTCTAATGCTCTTAAAGTATCTTCTACGCCGAAACAATATTTTCCCGTATCTTGCGAGATTTCGTCAAAGTAACGACCTACATGAAGTAATATGATATAGTATTAATTTTAAAATATTTTAAAATAGTTTTTAAATAAATTAGTAATTTCATCTTTTCTTCTACGAGCTTGTATAGTAAAAATATTTTATAGAAAATATACCAACCTATTAATTTCTTTTCTTGAATAAACTTCACATTTTGCAAAGATTCAGCAGCTAACTCAATAGCTTGATTAAAACCATTCTCTCCACCATATGAAACATCTACCAACTTTATAACTTTCGCTTGTAATCTCTAAGATAATAAAAATATGCAAAATTATTTTTATAAATCTAATTACATATACAAATGTTTATATTATCAAATTATATGAACTTACAGGATCAAACATATCCGACTGACTAAGTTCGGTTTTAAAATCAGCACTACCCGCAAGTATCAAACCAGCAATATTAGGTTTATCATTAGTAATATATAATTGGGTAGCTACTTCTGCAACTTTTCGAACGTAATTATGTCGTTTTTCCATACGCAACCGAGCAAAACGAAGTGCTGACTGTCCTCCTCTGCCTAAAATTAGGTTAGATAAATCAAGTAATATAGATATGATTTTTAAATAAATATATTTATATTTCAATAAATATATTCTTAATTATTCATAAAATATTATTATCTCATACTGATTATTTACGTACCATGCTTTTTGGGAAGATCTACTGTAAATTTATGTAGAACTTCACGAGTGTTGCCTTGCAACGTACCAAACAATGCTCCATTACCATCCATTACAATGAAACCAAATTTATTATCATCAGCAAGTAATGCTGTAAGTGCTTCAGTGTGAAACTAAAATATATCAGGATAGGTGGCATTTTATCTTATTTGACTCGGCTGACAAATATTCTTGTATAAAGTTACAAAGATATAAACTACCTTATTATCACAAAGATAAAGAGAAGTATTAATAGGCTTAAAGGGTTCAAAATCAATGTTAACTTTCTTTTCTTTGCCTTCTTCAGTTACTATGGTACCACAATATATTACCAGGCCATTTGGAGGCACTAAAATAACAAGATACAATTTACATTACCAAAACATATAACAAATATATAAAATTAATATCGAGCTGTGCTTAAGGCGACATTAATAAGAATTCAAAATCTTAAACTTCAAGCAATAAGACAAATTAACAAACATGTTTAATATTTATATAATTTTACAAAATACAAAAAAAAAGTTGCAAAGAATTTCAATAAACCGTTCAAATTACCTTTTGTATATAACTTTAGCCTATGTTGTACGGATGTAATTGCACCCAAAACAGATAGTCTATTTACACGAGATTTAATATTTGATGCCGTTCCAAATTCATCTGCTAACATTTTACTCACTCTTGATATTTGATCTTTTGGAGGAATAATTAATGAAATCATACTAGTCCCATTCCTGTGAAAAAAAGATAAGTATATATTATAAACAATGTTATATTGTAAAATTGCAGAGATTATATTAATAAAATTTATATTTTTCAAACGCGAAATAAAAGCCGGGGACAAAGCGCCGGAGACACGCGATACAGATTTTTCGGAGTCCCGAAGAATTCGAGGGGGACTTTTCCGCAGAATCACGTGAAACTCATTTTGCCAATAGGAACAAGAGAGGTCCGTTACTTCCTACTTACCACATGCTCTTTAAAGCATATGTGCAAATAGAAAATCGAACAGCTGATAAGAAAAGGCGCGGCAATATTAATTTCGGCCTACTTACCCCCTAGCCATTTCGAGGCTTTTTATAAGTTTCTTAATTTTCCAGATTTCGACATTGCGGTCGGCGGAAGTCTCCTCGTTGGACATTGCTGCGCGTTGTGTCGCGTGGTCGCGGCTCACGAATTTCAGCTAAATTAATCGTTTATATCACCAACCGGACGAAGCCTGGAAAGGTGGTCCACGTCGACGTAGAAGCCGGATCGAAGAATTTTTCTCTGAAATAAACGATCAATCCGTTTATCGATGAATCTGCCTCAATCCAGTTTATACCGGATTATGTCAGAGAACGTGTTCGACAAAGAATTACTGTTCTACTCGTGGAAACGATGAACAATCGTTCACCACGCTTTTCACTCACTCTGAGACCAGTATGTTGATGTTTTTGCCACAAGTGTTACGTTTTAAATGTGATACTTGTGACAGAGCGGGTACCACGCGAAAGTGAACCTCAGAATGCACACGTCGGCCATGCGATGGCACAGCGAAACGTCAGTACTTCGGTGGATGTACTGTACGGTACAAAATGGAAAGCAAAAAGACTGTAGAGTTGGTGCGCGAGCAGCGCCCCGAGGCCGCTTGATCTTCAGGCGCAGTCGCATTTGCACCGCTACACTAACGATACTTTATGTCGTTTAATGCTTCGTCCGCAGTCATTTGCAAATCTCATATCTGATCTCGCTATTTTCTTCTATTTATCTTGCAATTTTCGCATACGTAAAATTGCACGATAACTGATTTAATCGATCGTCAATTTTTATACCTCGTACACGTACCAATTACGATCAAGAGCTGGTGTATAAGAAAAATTCTAACATAAAATTGTAAATATTTAAGCAGAAGTTCAGCTTAGAAAATAGTATCTCTATCAATTCGAGTCTTCGATAAAATTGGCAATTTACTTATTTCCTTTTTCTTGTTTTATTATTTCATATCAATGCTACTCCTTCCTTCCTCCTTCCGCTTCGCATTACGTGTCCATTTGAAATTTGAAAATGTTCATACTGCTTACTAGTATAGTATTTTTGGTTATCGATGATTTTAGATGCCGTTCTATTGGCCATGAACATTAAGCAATTAACTTATGAAATCTTGCTTCTAAGTAACAGTTATGAATCATTTTTCTTAGGACTCGTACATTCGTTGCATGTGTCTATGAATAAGTAATACTTAATGGATAATTATGTTAATAATTATTGGAAAATGACGACACGGCTACAAAATAATTAAACATTGCTGATCTTGATTACTTTCGGTGTACATACATATATGTACATATATTTTTAAATATCTTTCGAAACATCAGCATTTTACACGTATACTTACATTCTTGATAAAGTAAAATATTTTTTATAATGAAATTACAAACTTATAAGAAATACATAGAATATTTAAAATCAACTGGAATTTGTATTGTTATGGTTGGGTTAGTTTTACCTATTATATTTTTCTTCTTTTTTTCAAATTATTAACTTAATGATGTGTTGATTGATTTACATTTTTCATGTAGAGGTTGTTGGTTTTTGTATCAGCTGCGACAAGTATCGCAAATTTTACAATCCTCTGTACCTACCAATGTTTTAAGCAAGGAGCAACCACATACCCAATATATTTATGTTGATGATCCTAGATTCAAAGGTATTTATCATTAGCTTACAATGGTTTATCGAGTTTCAAATATTTATTATCTTTGGTTTTATAATTCTAGATGTTCTCATGTTAAGAAAAGTTGAAAATTTACAATCATCAGTGCCAGTGGAGTCATTTTCATTTGCTCATATCATAATGAAATGGTGGAAATCATTAACCCGTAATGTGGCATATAAGCTATTAAATATCGCACAAACTAGCAATGACACAGAACGTTTGAAAGCTCTTTATACTCTTACTTCTCTAAAGCATTTGAAAGGTATTTTTCTTGTATGTATTATATATCAGTTTTTCACATAGATATTTTTCAATTAAAAATTTATAGATTGGCATTATCAGCATATTGCACAAATGTTGGATGCTAAAACTGCAGTGTCTCTTGCAAGAATGCCAAATGTTGATTTAAGATTCTTTTTACAACCACCGTATCGTCACGTACAATATAAATTACATGTATGTATAATACATTTATTGTAATTACATTTATTCAACAAGTTTAATCAGAAGTTATGTTTTTTCCAGGATGTAATAGAAAAAGTACACCAGTTACTCCTTCATTTAAGTATGTTATGTGAAAATACTCATCCATGCCTTGTTCAATTCCTTAATAAAAACTTTAAAGATACACCTTCTGTAAGTATACATTGCTTGAAATTTTTTAAATTTCTGTCTTGTAAATTATTTTGTGCGCATTTTAATTATTTAAGTCAGGAACTATTTACAAAAACAGGATAATCTGATACTTGATCACGACTTAACAAACTTAGGGCTGGCTGTAGCACCAGCCATAGTATGGAATCAAGAATTATTAAAGAATTGTGTTCAAGCACTATGCCACCATTCTTGTCTTGAACAATATAGTAAAGGTAAAGTAAAACATTTAATAAGTAAAAATATTTTTATCTGATCTTTTTTTGTTTTTAGATATTATCGATGCTGGTGGTCTTCCATTATTAATGATAATAAAGAAAATTTTCAACGATAACGTTAACATATGTATATTACTTGCAAAAATTATTTCTAATATTTCACTTCACTCAATGTATTTGCAAGATATTTTTCAATCAGGTATATTTAATAAATTTTAATTTTAGGATTTTTAAAGTATTGTATATTAATCACAGTTTCGTCTAAAGGTTGGATTGGTACATTGGTAGAATGGTCTCAAAGTAGTGATATAAGATTATCAGCACCAGCCAGTCGTGCATTGGCAAATTTAGATATGGATGAGAATGATAAATATCCAAGACGTATTTATCTTCTTCATCCTTTGCACAAAACTATGGCAAGCACAAAGTTAGATGTTATTTTCTTACACGGACTGCTTGGTGGAGTGTTTATAACATGGCGACAAAGAGATCCAGATACATCTGAAGTTGTTGGGTTTGTAGGTTTGTTAGTATTATTAATAATAATTTTAACGTGTCATGTATGAAACATGAGATTAATTGCTGTTATTTTACTTGTAGATCCCTATATTATACAAGATGGGATCAATTTTTCAAGTTTTATAGATGATCAGTCTCACGAATTTTTGAAAGATTTAGCTTATGATTTGAGGAAACGTGAATGGGACAAAGTAGGCCAAGATTTTGAAGTAATTTTGGATGATTGTCCTCAAAATACTAATACTAGAGGAACTGGACCATTTTTCTGTAAAGGGTATGATTTTTATTTTGTTAAGAAATGTTTATATATTTATGAATTTTCGTTTTTAGAAATGATATATGTATGAAGAAAATGTATCATGATAGACAACACAAAACACAATGTTGGCCTAAAGATTGGTTACCACAGGATATTCCATATATCCGAGTTATTGGGGTAAATTATGACACTAATTTGTCACTGTGGACACATTCATGTCCAATAGACGGCAGAAAGTAAACATCATTAATGTTATTACTTTATTTGGTTATTAAAAATTTATAATTCATGTATATAATTTGTTAATTAGAAGTACTATGGGTGAAAGAAGTAAAGAATATATAAAAAAATTGTTAATTGCGGGTGTTGGAAAACGACCAACGATTTGGGTTTGTCATTCAATGGGTGGTTTATTAGTAAAAAAAATGCTTGTGGATGGTTAGTTTTTCATATTTCACTATAAAATATTGTTTGTAAGTTTATGTATTCATATACGTAATTATCCTTTTCACAGAGTGGAAAACTGGAGATCAAAATGATATATGTAAAAATACACGTGGCATAATATTTTATAGTACTCCACATCGAGGTTCTCGCGTAGCAGCATTAAAACAAGCAACACAAATGGTAGTGTGGCCATCGATCGAAGTACAGGAACTTCGTGAAGGTATATTAAAAGTGCATAATACTAATTAAAAAATATTTTAAGCACGTTTATATGAACAATATGGTTTATGTTTAGAGTCGCCACAATTATTAAAATTACATAATGAATTCCTCGATATGTTGAAAGAACATCCTATAGAGATTATTAGTTTTAGTGAAACTAAGTCTACCCATGTAACACCGTTAAATGTGCCATTTCAGTTTGTTACTTCTAATTCAGCAGGTACGATAAAATAAGAATTATTTTATACAATATTATTGATCTCTTAACAAAAATTGTATTTATTTTTAGATCCTGGAGTAGGTGAATTCTATGAAATTGCACAAGATCACTTGTCCATATGTAAGCCAGCTAGCAGGTAATAATCCAGATTTTTTAATTTGATATATATCGAAATTCAAAAATTTTAATTATTTGTATATTTACTTTATAGACATTCCTTCTTGTATCAAAAACTTTTGTCCGTTTTAAAACGTCACGTAACTCAAGAGAAAACAACTGTTTCTCCAATTATGGAATTGCTATCATTGCCAAGTAAATTATTATAAATCTGTACATATTCCTATATTTTCATGATATTGTGAACATATATTACTTTATTATTATCAAAAAGTTTATTTTTGTATACTATATAAATTGATATTAACCCTCGGATGGCGGATGCTCCATCTAGTAACGTAGGCCAAAAGTTAATTACGGAATAAGAGAAGGAAACAAATAAGGCTAACAAATTCGTCTTTCTCTCTTTTTAATCATAACGAGTTCAATTTAGAGTAAACATATTTATATTACAAAAATATCAAATACTTTTTAAAATACTTATTTAACGCCACTGATAATTTGTTTCTTTGACTAGAATGAACAATAAAATTTTTGCAATAAAATCAATAAATGACTGATAAAAAAAAATAGTTAAATCGATCTATGACAGTTTTCTCAAGATGAATACAAGATATTGATCAATCAATATAAGGTAACATAAGATAGTTTATCATAAATAAAATTTCAGTGAATTTTAAATCTACAGATAAAGTATATTTTATATAAAGTATAGCATAAGCACAATGTAAGGCACTGAATAAATTAAATAAAAGTGGAATTGATAGAAATTTTATTTTATTACCGTAAATTTTAGAAATTTGTGTCGTAATCAGGATGATGACGACTTGATAAATTTGTTGTACTATCATAACCACCGTATTTACTGCTACTGTGAGACCCGTTGTAATAATAACCATTCCATTCCGATCTCCAACTATCGTACATGTTATATTTCTTATTGTCTTGAAAAGATTTTTCAACAAGGATCTAGAAATTCAAAATAAAATGTATATAATTTGGAATCATTTCGCGCATACAAATGACTCCAAATATAAAATCGTTTTAAAATTCTACCTTATTGGAGGTTGATTCGAAAGACTTCTCATTCCACGAAACGTCTGGATCAGTCCAAATCGTGTGTACCGGCTTTGAATAATCACTAGATCTGTGAGCTGACATACTTTTTGCTACTTCTTCTTCGTAGATTGTAGATACAGATGGTTTCAATTTTGAACCATTATGGCGGTTCACTAACTAGGAATTAAATACAAAGATAAATATCAATTTTACATTAACATTAGTGTAACTTCCAATTTAACACTTACAACAGAGACACCGAATATAATGATAAAAAGTAATCCACCAACACCAATTACGATCACAGCAATTGCCCATTGTGGAACTAATCTATCGTCTTCTTCAATATATTGAGGAGTAGTTACTTTAGGTATCACTGAAAGGGAATTATTAATTTTTTTAGGTATCACTGAGAGGGAGATATTAATTTTACAAATATTTGTCAATATATTGTGACATACCTACAAAATCCGTATATTTCGGATCGATCGTAAACGATCCAAGTTTTATCGAACCTGCCGTTTTGGTCTCATTCCATCTATTTGCATTATAAGTCCGTAACGAATCGTGAAAAATGACTTTCAAATCTTGTGTATTGATTTTTTGCTCCAAGTTGGCCAATTCAACAAAATAATCCACTAAAATACTGCCCTCGCTAAAATTTATAAATTCTCTCACTAAGTTAGTTTCTTTTAACAATAATTTAAAAAAAATTATATTATTACCTGAATGAGTCAATTCTTATCTTTTTATACCATTTTGCTAGGACAGCAGATTTAGAGAATATGAAGTTCATCTATCAAAAAATAAATAGAAGTGTCATCGAATTATATAAAACAAATACTTCTTAATTTATAAGATCTATGCGAATACCTCTTGCTCAATTTCATTGGCAAGTTTTTGCCATTCTTGGGTATTTCGGTCAAGCAGCTCCGGTACCCAGCTTGCATTGCCAATTATCTTTATTGTTCCAGCGACTTCGCAGTCCTGTTCACAAATCCCTGGTGTAGTTGGTCTAGGCGTTGTCGTTGTAGTTGACGTCGTGGTGGTGCTCGATGTCACCTCGGTTATCGGGATAAGCGACGCGGACGAAATCGTTGCAGTCCGAGCAGCTTCTAATATCTTTTCTATCGAGATTGGAGTAGTCGATGAGCTAGGCCATCCAGTAAATTCTGTGGTAGCTCTGCAAAAGTTCATTTCAATTTGAATTCATATTAACAACTCAGACTAAACTCAGACTTTGAATTCACTTTCAAATTTCAAATAATAATAATTCATTTTGGATAATAATTTCAAATAATAATTTAGTTTGTAAAATTTACCTGATCGGCCATCCTCTGTGTATTTTCGGCGTAACCGTGCCTGGTCCTTCACCTCGAGGACTCGATGGCGTGGTAATTTTATTAGCTGGTTTTCGTCCGCCCGGTCTGCTAGGAAACACAAGTTTTAAACCAGCGGATTTCTTCGTCGTAGACGAAGCAGATTCTGTTGTCGCGGAGACATTGGACTCGGTAGAATCTTTTGTCTCGTCTTTCGTCTCTAAAGTGAGATTCTTCCTCTTCTCTTCGTAATCTCGTGGCAATAAGGAAGAAATGTCAACTTTAGAGTTGGCGAACAAATTCTGAATCGTTTTTTCAGCTGGTGATTTCTCTGATGAAACGTCTATACTTTCCGCTGTTGTTGTGGTAGTGGTGATGGCGGTGGTGATTTCTTCATTTTTCTTTTTGTTATAATCCGCTGGTAACAACGATGATATATTAACTTTAGATCTTGCAAGAATATCCTTTAACAAAGAGCTTTCCGTAACGGGCGAGTCCTCTTTCTTCAATTTGTATCCAGGTGGCAAGAAGGCACTAATGTCTTGAATGATCACATTGGTTTTAGGTTTCTTTGTCGTGGTAGTGGAGGTAGTTGATGCGAGTTGAGTGGTGATTGATTCTGTTGTTGTGCTGGTTGTGCTCTTCGTGGGCCACCTAAACATCATTAATCATAATCATTGTTACCACGTCACACGCTTATGTTCATTAAATTGGCAATAAGAAATAGCTGCGAAGCATTTTAACATATAGAAACAAGAAACATATTTAATATATAAAGAAGAAACATTTTAAGCCAAATTAAAAATTCTCTCTCATTTCTTAATCTTAATCTTCTTTAATCCTCAATAAACATTATACCTTCGACTATTAGATTTTTCTAAATATTACACTTTCAACCATATTAGATTCTTCTAAATAAATCAAAAATACTATATATTCAAATGTATCACCAACCTAAATCCAGTCTTTGAAATCGTCGACGTTGTCGACGAACTCCTCGTGACATAATCGCGCGGCAATAGCCCTTCCAGACTGTCGAGCGTCGTTTCAATTCTCGGCTTCGGTGTAGCATGATCGGTTCTCTTGTCGTTATATCGTCGAGGTACGAACTTGCTGATAACCGGTGTCCTGGCAGTAGTGGTATACCTTCTGCGATTGTTTCTGTCCCTTTCATTCAAAACGTCCAACTGAAGCGAATTGCCAGCTGTTCTGAAACCACCAGCGAGAAAACCGCTGGATAATTCCGACTGCACACGATCCAATTTGTCGATGATGCTCTCCGTGGATTCCGGAGCTGGCGACGTTTTCTTCTCGCCGCTGTGACCGATCGATTCGATACGATCTATGACCGGAAACGGCAAGAACCTCGCGCCAGATATGCTACGACTCGTTTGAACGGAAGCTAGTATTCGAGACGTATCTTCGGTTGTCACCGCCGTCATTGGTAGTTCCGTGATCCCCGTAGACGAGGGTGGCGCGGCGACTTGCTCGGTAGTAGTCGGGGAGGATGTCGTTGGAACAGAAATCGTGCCGTTGACGACGCTTTTTGTCGTTACTACCGATACTATCGCCTCGCCGATCAGGATGGAACTGTCAGCGGAAGAGTTTGTTCCCGATTTTGGCAGTCCGAGAAAGGCGAACGTTTTGTCGCTACCTTCCATCGAGGAGCCTTCTTGGTCGTTGTTGGTCGTCGCGATTGGCGTGTTCGCGTTCTTCTCTTCGAGCAGATCGGACGTGGAATCATTCGCATGATGAGCATCCTCTAAATATTCTTCCTCTTCCTCCGATAAATCGTAGTCGTTGTCCTGCGGTTTCTCCGCTTCGTCTTGCTCCTCTTGCTCTCCCTGCTCCCTCGATACTTCCTTTCCCTCTTCCTCTGCATCCAGATAGTCACGGGCGTGATCGTCCGCTGCGAAATTTCCAAAGACGTTGTTTTTGACGAACAACTTGGACGCGGAAGAAACGCGCGGAACACAAGAAGTGCGCGTGCTCGTCGCGTTTCTTTTTGTTCTACGGACACGAGACTTTCCTTACCGGGTGACGAAACGAGTTTACATAACGCAGAACGCGTTTACAAAGATCATAATTATTTCATACTGTCGTGTTATATCATGAGAGAGAGAGAGAGAGAAAAAAAAGCGGTCTAAAAGTTGTGACGGTTTTGCATTACGGTGAGAAACAATCGATTTCCTATAGACTCCTAATTTTTGTCCGAAAGCTGTGACAAGGAGAAACTGACTAGTTTAATCAAACTTTCTTTTCGGTTGTAGAGTCTTTTTTTATTCAGTCGAGAATTACATTGCCGAAAAATCTCAAAAAAAATAGAGGAATTTTTTAATTTCACTCGCGTATCACATACAAGTTTATGCGATTTTTTGAAAATTTAAATTTAATTACTATTACTTAATTAATTATTACTTAATTAATTATTTAATTATTACTAAATACCGGTAACCGGGTATGTTTCTACCTCTTGCATCGGATTGTTCGAGAATAATTTTTAATTAATTAAATTAAATTTAATTATTTAAATTAAATTTAATTAATTAAATTAGGGACGACGAACGCAACAATATTATAAAATTTGAATTATTTGATAATTATGTGTATTAATAAGTTTCTAGATTGACATGTTTAAACAGTTTAAAATTTGAGTAGTTTTCGATTTATATCTTACCTGCAGCCTGGTATCGCGACTGATTAGGACTTGAGTAATCATCGTTGTAATAGTTATACGTGTCGTACTGACTCGTCGAGGGATCCTCCAGATAATCTTCATCTCTGGATGCGTCTTTTGTCTGAGCATTTATGTCTGGCGAGCCGGTATCCGTGATTTTGGAAAATTTCGAAGTTCCGTGTTCCGCTTTTGGATCGGTTTCAACTTCGTACTCGTCTTCGTAAACTTCTTCGTCGTCTACTTCCTCCTCGTGTTCGTTTTTCTTTCCATTCGTTTTTGACGTCTCCATAACGTTGTTCTCGTCCAAGGAGCGCAATAGCGTTTCCGCTGGATTACTCGCGGGAGATGCATTTTTGTCTTGTTGTTCGTACACCGAATTCGTTGGTATCAGACGTGACAATTTGTCCCACGACTCGACTGATCCTTGAAAGAAAATCGATTGATTTAATAAGTATAATAAAATTCAGTTTGAAAGAAATAAGTACTCGATTACTTTTTTAAAAATGACGTGATAAAATTTTAAATTGTATTTAAACTGCTCGAAGTTTATTCTATCATAAAAATCAAACACGTCAGAACGTTGATAGATGAGGAATATGCATATCAAAGAAGAAAAATTTTAATAATGAAAAGTGTAATTTCAAAATGGATATAATTAATATAATAAATTAAAAATAAATAGTAAACAATGTTTAAATTTAAAATCAAACACACTAGATATGGTAGTAAAAATATAAAAGTAATCTGAGAAACAAATTAAATGAACAAAAAATTGGGGCATCGAAGTGAAAAGGGTGTGCTCGGTTCGCGCAATCATGTATAAATTATAGCTGCTCTTTCACAGATTTAACTAGCATGTTCCGTGAGAAACTGTCTGGAGTTGTTTCCGAAAGAAAGCGAAGACGCTTTCCAGCATTGTTTCTTCATGTTTTGTAATACCTTTTGCATCGAGAAACAGACCATCTTATTTTCTCGATTTCCCGCGGAAAACTCGTCTCCGAATTTCCTGCTACAACACGTTATTAGATAATCATTTAAAGTTTCATGTTACAATACTTTCGTATAATTTAACTATTAATGTAATTACTTTAATGTGAAAATTATAAATTAATACACAGTTAAAATAGTTCTCAAGTAGTAAAAATCGTAAACTCAATATTTCAAAGTACTATATAATAAAATACAATTTACTTATTGAGATATTTCTTGCAACAATTTACTGCAAGTTTCTCGCAAATAGATAACTTTAATATTTAGCATTAATTATCATCATATGAATACGTATTTACGTTCGACTTTTCCCAACTTTCGATTGGGAAGTATTTGTTCCGCTTTTACATCCAAGGAGTTAATTAAACTTAACATTTATTTAAAACAAATTAATAGTCCTTTTTCTAACTTTCGACTAGAAAAAAGTACGCTCCACTTTCGTATTCCACGATGATGAAACTTTCTTTTATCGAAAACAAATTAAAGACGATTATAGAGATTAAGCAAATAATAAGGAAATAATAAGGCTTTTGTCCATTTTGATTCATGAGCAATTCTGTAAAATGACTCAACTTCCTCATTCGAAAGAAATACAACGTATTAAATGCATTTGCATGTAATTTTTAATATCCTTCGCCTAAAAAGGAGTCTTACTCTGGCCCAGTTCTTCCTCATGTATTTCATATTAGCAACGTTAGTTCCGCTATTTATTCTCACAGTACCGCTAAACTCCTACATATCATTCCCTTTTTTGAATTAATAGTTACATCAACCAATGATAGCATCATTCACAGAAGAATAATTCACAAATTATAATTTATAATTCTTAGATAATTATAATTCACAGATTCTTTCATATTACAATTCATATTATAATTCACAGATTCTTTCATATTACAATAAATAAAAAGATCCCCTGCAAAAATAAAATGCAAAAATAAGAATCCCCTGAAATTGAAAATATTTTTATTAATGTTTCTTCATATATTTCAATATTTTTTAATACCTTTTTAAGTTGTAAATCTGCTTTGCTTCAACAAATGATATATCCATCTATTTGCCACTCTACTTGTATTGAAATACACATGATTTAAAATTATTTTACTAAACAGCAATGCATATAATTTTCTGAAGAGAATGGTTATAATGTTCTGAGCTTGGACAACACGAGATATTCTTGAAAAGGGTTGTATATCAGTGGTAAATGTCGTAACTGGAATAGTTCCGTGGGTGTGTCCGCAATGAAATCAACAAGGCTGCAGGCCTTCGAAATCTGAGCGCGAATATAAATTAAGGTGTGGTTACGCTACTCGAACGCGTTAATTGCGCTTGCTTTCCTACGATTCGTTTCTTGTCGTACAATTTGATATTTTGCCTTTACATCCGCAAACATGCGCGCACCATTTTAATTACTGATTATCAAAGTTTACTTGCACTTTTCCAATTTGGTTTCTTTACGTTTCACTTTAGGAGAGAAATTCTAGAAATGCATAAATTACTGTTTTATTTCTGTTTACTGTTATTTATATAATTCAATAGTTTGTCATAAATGGTTTACCAAAATAGATTTGGATAATTTAAGCAACAGAGAGGAGTATTCTACAATTTTTGAAGAGATCAACTCCTATACTTTTGTTTCATTTATTTTTATTTTTATTTTACATTTTGCTACTTTTGTTACATTTGTAACGAGTAATGTAACATTATGTAATGGTACTGCATGTTTGTTTTTAATACTTCAATTAGATATGCATATACTCTGTACTATTGATTTATTTCTCAATAATTAATGCATGGATCGTAAGACAACTATCTCTTATTATCATATTGAGCAATATCAACTTTAAATGCAAATGTTACTAATCAAGTTTGAACGATACAGTTCAGTGATCATATTTTTTGTCTCACGTTATAAATGATTTATATTAGAAGCATAATAATAAGCACGAATATTGTGTGATTAACTGTCAACACAAAAATATTACTTTGTATATACCTAATTTCATACTGCATACTGTAACAAATTGCAGAATAGAATTTATCAATTTCTCTTTGCGAGTCTTCACGAAATATTCATCAATATTCAAACTTACCTCCTACGTCTACTATTACATTCAAACTTTTACTAAAGTTACGAGCGTATCGACATCGTATTTTATCATTTCGACAATTCAAGCGGTAAAATTCATTGGAAATTCGTCAATGTTTAACGTAATTCCAAGTTATCCCTCTTTTGTCGGAACTTGCTCATATGTCTTACAGTTTCCGCCGCTGATTGTGAGACCAACCGGATTCGATATTCTCAGCTGTCGCGGCCGGTTGTTGGCAAATTCATCGATCTATTGACGTAATTCGAGAGCGCTTATATGGCCAATACCAGTTTCGTATTTTCAGCGGAACTTGTCCGATACTTTCACGATCGCGACAGCAGGAAGTGTCCGATTAAATTCTAACGGGTGTACGTGCACTAAAGGAGCGAGAAGTCACGCGTGCCAAGCTTACCCAACGAAGTTGAAACGCACATATATAAATAATGGGCCGAGTGCAGCTGTTCTCCTTTCAATCGTCCTTCGACTTGATCGCGTCTACTCCACGTACATACGTTCACACGAATTCTTAACTCGAGATGCTTGTGTCTTGGAGTATCGATCGCAGCTTTCTTTCTTCATACTAAAAAATAATCTATTGTCTTATACTTGCTGTTGTAATACTATCGTTTCTTTCTTTCTTCTTTTTCAAAATTAATTGCTTACTTATATGAGTTGAATAACACAGCGTTACCTTCATCGTCGAGTATTATTCATTTGTACTTTACTTTAATATAAAATACATGAAATCTTTCAAATTTTTCTCATTTTCACGATTCAACTTTCTTTACAGATCGATATGTCACGTAGAATTTCTCCTGCAACTGCAAGATGAATAAAAGATTCGACAAGTACTTTTGCTAAAAAAAGAAAAAAGTGTACTTGTGTTAATGTTCTTGATCGTATCTTTTATTGCGCAGTAGTTCCATATAGTAAACCAGCAATTAAGTAACGCTACTTATAACATGTATATTCAACAAGTACCTACAACTTTATTAATGTTCCTTCTGTCGCAAATTTTTTTCGAAATGTATACCATCGCTGCAAACGTGTAAACCTATACGTGTACACAGGTTAGTTACGTTTTACCAGGTTTACATTTTATCCGTTCATCTCAGGTAAACGTATAGAGTGCTGTGACCTCGCACGATTTCAAACCGATTAAAACTGCGCCCTCTCTCTCTCACTCTCACTCGATAATGCAGGTCGCAGAACTACGTCTATCCTGCGTGGCAAGACGATGTATTTTGAAATAACATGTTTCGCGCTTATTGTACCGTGACTTTCCTTATCCAACCTAAATGTAAAAGGCGAAAAACTCTCGCATCAGCACGCAACGAAACAACCGCACGACCGTTTTCCATAGGCCAATATAATCCTAGCGAATACGAAGCCTAAATAAGATACACGGCCTCGTCAAAGATTCACGCACTTTCCATAAGCGAACACGCCGTTGTTATGGCGCCGTGCAATTAACGCAAATTCTCGATACACGGCGTTCCAATTCTATCGGCCGAGCGTAGGTATGATTAATGACGAATCTCACAACCAGAGTTCACTAGTGATTTCCCGTTTGTTTGTGAAAGTATTTAACTCTGCGACCGAAAAAAAGACTGAACTCCAACAAAATTGCAGGAAATTGCTTGGTACGATTTTGAAAATTTTCTTTCAAAAGTTTGACGGACTGGAAAATCTTACGAGCAGATTGCGAACGTTTATTCGCAGGTTCAAACATTCGTGAAATGCAACCAAGGAAATCGAATCTACAGGTATGTAACTTCAGATATTTTGTATACTTTTAACACCCTATACTTTTTTACATTTTTAAGTTTTCTACAAGTTTTGTATAAACTCAGTGCGCTTGCGAGACTTAGATCAATTCAGAAGCAAAACGCGAGAAAATGTGCGGCCGATATTGCTATGCATATTGGCAGAAACTTTCTCTAAAGAAGTTTCTTTTTCAAGGTTAATGACTCAATCGAAAAAGAAGGTAAATCGTCTGCCTTACTAATCTCGTAACACTATTTATACAATGAAATCGTGTTTAAATAATGTATATGTATTGTACACAGGGTGTATCTCGCGATTGGTGGTTACAACAGAGCACGAGGCGATCCTAACGTGAAAAACGAGTCGAAACGAAAGAATAAAATTTGTTCATCAAAGCTTTCGTTTCGAGAAAATCGAGTTTGGAAATTTATCAAGTATACCTGAATTTAGTTAATTCCGTACTGGAATTAACGCTTGAATAATTGACGCGAGAGATAATTCTATGCGCAAAAATAAGTGGAAAGTGTAGAATAAAATTTTTTTCGTTTAAAGCTTCATTTCTAAGAAAATAGACTTTGAATATGTTTCGTTAAAAATTGGTACTAGCGTACTAAATAAATTTTCCAACTCAATCTTCTTGAAAACGAAGCATCTAAAATATAGAATAAAAATTTTATTTTTATCTTCGTACGTAGAATAATTTTCTATTAATTATTCTTAATTATTCTCATGTTTAGAATTAGCTAAATTCAAATACACTTGATAAATGTTCAAACTCGATTTTCTCGAAAACGAAGGCTTTAACGAACAAATTTTATCTTTTTTTTTTCCACTTATTTTTTTTATATAGAATCACCTCCTACTTGGTTTACTTACCATTCATTATAAAACATTTTTGTCGTGATATTGATCATTGATCTTTTTTGGGAAACCGAGATTTAACACGAGCTTCGTGTGTTAATCATTATGGAATTCTTGTCTGTTACGAGATCCGTGAGATGAGTCTTAAACTCATGCTGAGAAGAGCGAGGCCACGAGAGATTCACAACGAAATCGTGTCATATTTCACGGAAATCATTTCAACATGATAACCGTTTATTCTTCCACGGTTACAACGAATACCAACACATGCGGGATCCAAATTTATTAACTCATGACAGCGTTGTTAATTAGCCCTTTGAAAGGCTCCTTAATATCTCATTATCATTTAGTACATTATAAAACACGAAAACTACTTTGTTTCATATAAAATGGTTATTAGAAATATAACGGTATTTATATTTCTAAGTTCATTGATTCTTATTCAGTCTGAATATCCATTCGCTGCAACCAGAACGCATGCAACCGGTGATTTAATCTGAATAACAAATTAATATTTGTGTCTTTCATTTGTTCCATCGTCGAAAAGCTGAAACGTAAACAATTTCACTCTCATTCAATATAAATCTGCATTAGAAATTAACGAAACCTCTTACTTTTCGATTTGATTAATTTGATTTCTGATTCTATAATATCAACGTCAGGCGATTAAGCTACAAAAGTACAAAACGATTAAAGTGATAAATTTATTTGAGCGAAGTGTTCAAAATCTTACATTGCAAATTTCACAAGTCTCATTAACTTTTTAATGGATGCCGAAATTTGCAATTCTGGCATCAAGCACGAATAAAGCTTTATAGATTTTACGTTGATTGTTACCGCGATGTTCTTCTTTATGGCTGTTGCACAATGCACGATAATTGGATGATGATTGGCGTGGAATCATGCCAATTTTGTCATTCGCCACAATTTTAAGTCAGATATGTCTGTTTTAGGGAATCACGATAATCGTTCAACTCAAAGTTGTTATTATAGGCAACAATGGAGATTCAATTGCGTTATCCTGCTACACGATTGTAACGTAACACTCGTATAGAATTGCGGTTCTATTGTATTGCGTATTGTATCGCAATGTACCAGGTCACGAATTCAAACTATCTAGTATTGCACAGCGGTCATCCACCGTTTATCCTGTCTGCAGGTTTAAGGCCGGATTGCATGATCTATTGCGTTATCCACAGTTATGCTTCAAGAAAATTTGCGCGTATCAATTCGTGCAACACATCTCTATAACTGCGATCTATTCGCCCACTATTGTGCAGCAAATAAGGCTTTGTTATTTTTTTGTTGTAGAAGTCGGGTCTTAATTTATGAGAATTTTATCAAATTCCCATCAACGCATTGATATTTCACGGGAACGACCAACTGAGAATTTCGTCGGCCGTAGAAGCAACAAGGAATACGAATTAAGCCAGAAAGACTTCACCGTAGCCAGTGAATCGTGACAGTCATACACCGTTGACCGGGGATTGCATAAATACCACCTACACATTCCACTGGTATTACGCTGTCAAAATCAAACGGGACCTTCCAATGGTCCCGGTTGAAAAGACTTCCAAGTGTCCGTCGTCTGATCTATAAATCATCCGGTAACAATATACTTGGAACGTTTCAAAGAAGCCCTTCGCACAGCAGTGAAAAATCCAACCTGGACAGCCTGGAATCCCATAAATTTGCCCGCGATGCATATGTCCACGAGAACGTTCGCAGTTGCTCTGTGCTTTATCCATGAAAGGATCGCGCAGATCTCGGTAGCGCGCTCTTTCGGTCGGAACGTCAATCATAATCGTACACTCAAATTCGTTCGCCTCGAAGGGCTACTTTTTGCGCGGGTGTTTTCAGAAGAAAGAAAAGAAAGAAAGAGGAGAAACGTACCTTGTTGGCTGTTCGCTGAAACGAAAACGCAGCCGATCAGTATCAGAAACGTCGAGATCACGTCGACGAGTCGGGTATCGTTCGTTTCGCGTCTCGACATCGTCCTCTGGCACTTGTTCACGCCGCGCACTTGTTCGTATCGGCACGATTTCGAGGCAGTTCGCCCAACTGTCAGCATAACACTGTCATCGTAACGACGCTGAAATTCGCGGACTCGTCTCGCGTCGTTATTTATTTCGTGTCGTTGATTATTTACCGATCGACGACGAACGGACGCATCCTCACATTGGGAAAAAGAGACGTTCGCGAGCACGGCGCGCTTGTCACTGGCCACGGGTAGAAAGCAAAATCCTACTTTCACTTGGTGGCTGCGAGCCTCGCGAGGCGGAGCTGGCACGTCGAGGCCATCGCGATCTTTCCCTCTCCTTTCTATTCGGCTACCTCTCCGGTGTCTCTCTTCTCGTCTACGCGTCTTTGTGACGATCAACACCGAGGGAACAACCGATACTTAGAAAAACCATGGGGACGGGTTTTAGCAAAAATTTGAGAACGTCCGGGTACGACCTTTTTTGTATCTTCGCGAAGGTCGCTCGCGAGGATCAACGATCTTTCGCAACCGATTTTAGAACCGGGAGTCAATGCTTTCATCGCTGAAGCGAGCTCCCCAAGAAGACTCTTTTGCATATTACAAATAAAAGAATTATTTCGCTTGGAGGATAGCCTTGGATTTTTGAACCGAACGCAAATTTTTTCACTTTTTGCTTCAGATGATTACTAGTTACGATTATTATCATTATTATTATTTTTTTTTTTGTTCGCGTAGATATCGATTATAATTTTATCTCACTTTCTTTACCTTCACTCTCATTTGTCAAGAGGGAATGTTTACATTGAATTGTATATTTTAAAAGATATGTTTACATTGAATTGTATATTTTAAAAGATATGTTTACATTGAATTGTATATTTTAAAAGATATGTTACACGTTGGAAGAATTCTTCAATTCGATTGTAACGGCGTATAACTTAAAAGTAACATGTTCATGTGCCTATATTTAAAATTAACAATCGTAGTAATTTATGTGATTCTAAATTGCGTTTAAAAATATCTCATCGCTTCCAATTTGTCGTCGAAAGATCAAAAAGTTCTACATTTATTGGTTCTCTTGTTCTAGAAAAATTGTAACATATCTTTCATTTTGATGCCCATCCATTATGCATCCATTCCTCGCGAACTTTATATTTAAGTTATATATAGCCTGCGTTTAGTATCTTTGTTTCGATCCCATCTATCGTTTCTTTTAGGGGCTGGAAAGAATGCAGCCGAAGAATGTCATAACACGACCGCGTCCTTCGGTAGGACCTTCGTTTTTTCGTTGTCGATTTTGTCTTGTCGCGATACGTTCGTTAACCCTTCCTCCGGTTACAGACCACCTTTACGAATCGATATTTTGAACTGATTCACATCCGGTCAGAAACCAGACAAGTACCAAAGTAAAGAGACAAGCAAGGTTGGGACTTCGGGATAGTCAAGAAAAATATCATCATGACGCAATGAGATTGATGATGGTACTTTATAATAGCTTCAAAATTATTATTCTCAACGGTATATGTGATTAGTTGTCTTCTTCACGTGTTTTACGTCACGTGTGGTTTGTTTTTTATATATGGTGTTTTTCAACTTTCTGTGGTTGACTTCGTGTAAATGTCTTCACCAGAAAAAGATAAAATTTCTTCTACGTTTTTTGAACATATATTGTCGTATATGTATATAGGGTGTTACCTGTAACGCGACGCACGATTTTTCACTCACAGCCATCTGATAAAAAAAAGTTTCGAACAAAAGTTGAACGGTACAGGGTGTACCAAAAAAATTTCGAAAACTGTTTGTTTTCATAGCTAAATGAAGGTCACTTTGGATTAAACAAATAGGATCACAATTTTTTTTTCCACCGTATTGTAGAGAACATCGAGATGAATTCAAAATACATACTACATGATATTTTTATTAACATGTTACTCCATTTACAGTAGTGGAAATCGTTGCTTCAGAAGGTTGCTTTCGTTGCGGAAATCTTTCTCTATACACTTTAGTAGCTTCTCGAGAATTTCTCTTGCATTCGCCAAAAATTAACAGCATTTCAACTCTCTCCAAATTAGAAAAAGAACACATTGTTGCAAGCGATTACTTTACAACAAATATTGGAAATATGAAATGAAGGAACCGCAATGATAAACTGCAAATAAATTCTATACTTCTATGTTTATATTTAGTAATCTGAGATCAACTACACTGTCTTAGAATCAAATACGACGAGAAGCTAAATGTTTCACATTTCCACTACTGTAAATGGAGTAACATGTTAATAAAAATATCATGTAATATGTGTTTTGAATTCGTCTCGATGTTCTCTATAATACGGTGGAAAAGAAATTATGTGTTCCTATTTGTTTAATTCAAAGTGACCTTAATTTAGCTATGAAAATAAACAGTTTTCGAAATTTTTTTATTGACACCTACTGTACACCCTGTACCGTTCAACTTTTGTTCGAAACTTTTTTTTATCAGATGGCTATAAGTGGGTGAAAAATCGTGCGTCGCGTTAACACCCTGTATATGTCTGTCTTCGTCGCACGCTGTTGCTCTCCTTGTCTACCGCGACTATATGTCTGTCCTTGTCGCACGCTGTTGCTCTCCTTGTCTACCGCGGCTATATGTCTGTCCTTGTCGCACGCTGTTGCTCTCCTTGTCTATCGCGGATATACGTCTGTCTTTGTCACACGCTAGTGTTCTCCTTGTCTACCGCGGGTATATGTCTGTCCTTGTCGCACGCTGTTGCTCTCCTTGTCTATCGCGGCTATATGTCTGTCTTTGTCACACGCTGTTGCTCTCCTTGTCTATCGCGGATATACGTCTGTCCTTGTCGCACGCTGTTGCTCTCCTTGTCTACCGCGGCTATATGTCTGTCCTTGTCGCACGCTGTTGCTCTCCTTGTTTATCGCGAGTATATGTCTGTCCTTGTCGCACGCTGCTGTTGTCCTTGTCTACCGACGCTAGACAAGGAAAGAAACAGTGTGCGAGAAGGACAACCTTCGATCTATTGGAAAAAAAATTCAACTTTCTACACACACGTTTTTCCAGGACAAAACACACATAAACTGAAAGCGGGGGGCCTAATTTTAAGTACACAGATAAAAAAGTTCGCAAATTATTCATCTTAATTAGGTTTTTTTCGTAATTAGTGTGAAGTTTCACAAAATGGACATGGTGGCGCCATCTAGCGGTGGTACTCAGTGGTACTAATTATTTACAAAAATGTTTTGTTTACGTATAGTTTACGTATATAAGGAATGTTTCAATTTCGTGAAAACTATAGTGAATCAGATTCAGATTTATTTGCGAACGTAACTGATAGCATTATCTTTGAAATATGTGCTGGTGGAGTACAAATTAGTAGCATGAAAAATAAAAATTAATTATTCCCCTTATATGTTTACAGAGCGTTTAGTTCCACCGGTCTGCCATAACGCGACGCTAGTGTTTGTCACCCTGTAGCGACCGCTACCTCCGCGCAACACCAGATAGCGCCATGTACATCCGCTAAAATCTTCCGTCGAAAGATGCGTTTCCAATGAAGCAGCCAGCGACACCTTTTCCAGAGAAAAAAAATAAAAACCCGGGAAAAACAGGAAAATGCGGGAAAAGTTTTCCCCCTCTTCGCAAGCCGAGGCTATAAAACCGGGTTGCGAAGAGGAAAAGCTCTTCTTCTTATTCCTTGTCTACTGCCATCAATACTACGACACCGAGTGTATCCACTATGTGTGTAAGAATATTGTAAGTGCTGTGATATAATCCAAAGACTAAAAATATATAAAACTATCAAAGAATTTACGAGTATTTAATTTAATTATTTGTACGTGAACCTGTGGTAGGATTCTACTTTATCCACTCCGGGTTCCTACAACCCTGTAGCGACCTCTACTTGGAAGAATTTAGATAAACGACATCTATGTTCATTAAATCGTTCCGTCGAGATGTGTATTAAATATAAACAATAGAATATTTAAAAATAGCTAATAATTTTATTATCACCATGGAAATGTTTACTGACACTTATATATATTGTAGCCATAGCGGAAATTCTTCATTCATTATTTAACTTTCATTATGTAATCTTCATTAAATTATTAGTAATTATATATTTTGTTATATTAATAATATTTTTATATAAACAACTAAAATTAATTACGGAGTTTTTATTTATTTGTAGTACTGTGATATAAATATTAATTATCATAATCACTACAACCTCGTAAAACAGAGAAATTTTCATTTGCAAAAACACCTAATTTAGCGAAATGAATTGTGAACTTTTGTGATTGTGTTATCCTAATTAGACTCTTAGCTTTCTTTTCATACCTGATTTGACCCGTAAAATGCAGAAATAAGTATTTTTGTAAATAATTAGTACCACTGAGTTACCGCTAGATGGCGCCACCATGTCCATTTTGTGAAACTTCACACTAATTACGAAAAAACCTAATTAAGATGAATAATTTGCTAACTTTTTTATCTGTGTACTTAAAATTAGGTCCCCCGCTTGCAGTTTATGTGTGTTTTGTCCTGGAAAAACGTGTGTGTAGAAAGTTGAATTTTTTTTCCAATAGATCGAAGGTTGTCCTTCTCGCACACTGTTTCTTTCCTTGTCTAGCGTCGGTAGACAAGGACAACAGCAGCGTGCGACAAGGACAGACATATACTCGCGATAGACAAGGAGAGCAACAGCGTGCGACAAGGACAGACATATAGCCGCGGTAGACAAGGAGAGCAACAGCGTGCGACAAGGACAGACNATATAGTTGCGATAGACAAGGAGAACACTAGCGTGTGACAAAGACAGACGTATATCCGCGATAGACAAGGAGAGCAACAGCGTGTGACAAAGACAGACATATAGCCGCGATAGACAAGGAGAGCAACAGCGTGCGACAAGGACAGACATATAGCCGCGGTAGACAAGGAGAGCAACAGCGTGAGACAAGGACAGATACATAGTCGCGGTAGACAAGGACAGCAGTGGCGTGTGACAAGGACAGACATAGCCGCGGTAGGCATGGAGAGCAACAGCGTGCGACAAGGACATATACAGTGTGTTACTCGTAACACGACGCACGATTTTTCACCTACTTACAGCCATCTGACTAAAGAAAGTTTAGAACAAAAGTTAAACGGTGTACAGTAGGTCTCAATAAAAAAAATCTCGAAAACTGTTTGTTTTCATAGCTAAATCAAGGTCACTTTGAATTAAACAAATAGGAACACAATTTTTTTTCCACCGTATATATGATA